GCCGGCGTTCCACCATACCGTCCGTTTGGAGATGGTATGGTGATGTTATAACTTTCTTCGTGCCTAGCGCGTCGCACACCTCACGCGGCAGCTTCGATGATAAATTCCGGCCCTGATCCGTGAGAAGCTGCTCGGGGGCACCCTTTTCCATTATGTAGCCGTGCAAAAATGCATGGGCAATAGATGCGGCCGATTGGTTGGGCAATGGCCAGGCCATCGGCCACCTCGAGAAATATTCAACCCCTACTAGGAGAAATGTATTCCCACTCTGCATGGCCGGGAAGGGTCCCAGAATGTCGAGTGCGACCAACTCGTTAATCCGAGACACCGAAATGGACTGCAACGGAGGCTGGGACTTCCTCAGCAGCGGTTTCCAGCGTGTGCAATCCGTGCAACCTTTTACCAGATTGTAAACGTCGCTCGACATTTCCCTGCCAATAAAAGTTAACGTCTTTTGCACCCCGAGGTGCACCAACTTATCCTCGTGTACCACCCACGTCGACCTTCCCGGCAGGTCAGTGGGAACCACAATACAGTGACGGTGCAGCCTCTCGTCCCACCTCATTAAGAGTCATTCATGAAGAACAACTTGCGGACCTCCCGTGAGAGCAGACCCTTTGTGCTGCAACTCAGCGCGACGCCGCAAGGCCACGAGGGACCCATCTTCCATCTGCAACCGCAGCCACTCGGCGCTCGCGAGATTCAAAGTGCTGTCCTCTGGCGCAACCACCTTGGCGGGCTCCCCCTCACCGAGCGCTGCCACGACGTTCAGTGGCCCCGCCACAGGTGATTTACAGTGGCCCGCACCCGACGAACACGCACAACGCTCCACCAGGGGCAAGCGGGACAACGCATCCTCATTACAATGTCGCACCCCATCATTAGACCTCCTTTGCCAGTACCAAAATATAATAAAAGGGGTTTTCCTCTTTTTTCTGGCAACAAAACTAAAACCTTTTTACAAGGATTCACGTCTGCATTAACCACAGTACCTGCAGTCAAAATGCAAACAAAAAAACATACTATGATAATATATGCATTGTCCTTGAAACTGATTGATTAGAAGGGACGGCTTTCTTTAGGCTCACATGACATTGACTTTTCCAAGACAGAGGTTCTTTGCAAGCCATCTGGCTACCATGAGAGATTCGTTCATGAGGCTATCCACATATACAAGCACAGAGACAATTTCAACCAAGAAGATGGATTCTGCCTTAGCAATCATTGGAAAGATTTGATAAACCATTTCAGGTCTTAATTGATTGTTCACGCTTACAGTGGCTTTTAGACAGCATACATAAAAAAAAAATTTCGTCTCCCCCCTCCTCTTTTCAGAACATAGATGGACTAGTCCTTATAAATAAACTGCCAAATCGCTGCGCGTGGCACTAATGTTTTTTTTATTATAAATAAATAAAAGCACCGTTTTAAAAATAAATAAATTTATGCAAACCGACACACCTGAAGATGACCTTTTGTGTTATGGTCGAAACGTCGTGATAATTTTTTTATTGTTTTATATATATATATTATTATTTTATTGTTTCCCTTCAACGTGACTTTACCGAAAGAACTAAGAAAATGAATTACTGCAGTCACGAAAGCTTTAAATCAAAATTTAACACCAACACCTTTAAAAATGTCGTTATCATTATCATCAACCCCATTATAAACTCTGTCCTCGCACTCGATCATTATCGTCGCTTTCACCATCACCACCAGGGGATGCTGTACCACTTTGCTGTGAAATTTAACAATAGGGTTATTAACAGGAATATGCATGCTCCCATCATAGGACTGTAGATGTTCCAACTTTGACTGAGAGCGGACGAGGGGCATACGCTTCGCCCACTCACACTATTTTACGCAATTAACAATGTCATTTACGTATGTATGTTCTTATTCTTTTCACACCAGTTCAAAATTAACACGTTTCATTTCTTTAAACTTGATCATTAAAACAATGCTCAGCACATTCGTCAATAACACAGCGGCCTTAAAATTAAAATGTGCATTTAATTGTTGACGTTTTGGGCAATGGCCCTTCTTAGCACATCTTGGAATGGCTATTGCCTGAAATGTCGCTATTATATATTTTAATTTAACGGAGTGTTGTAACATTATAAGAGATCTGTCACTCAGATTTAGCACGAGCAAAGCGCAGCACAAGAATGGGTGTTACATATTTTTTACAGAAATATCCTGTTTTAATAAAACATATATGTGGATAAGGGGCCGTCCATAAATGACGTCACGCGATTTTGGACGATTTTTGACCTCCCCCCCCCCTTGTCACATGGCGTCACAAAAAGTCAGACCCCCCCTCAAATATGACGTCACAAAGCTCTGCCCCCCCCCCTACCAAAAACATGCTTCAAATCGCTTTAAACTATTGTCATTGTAGTGCATATTTAATGTGGCGCTGCACTCTGATGTTGTAGGAGAAAACATTAATTAAAAAGTCTATTTAATTAAGTAGAACGTGTTATCTATAGTTATTTAAAGTTGCGCATTTTGACGTGACGTCACATTTCTCAAACCCCCCCCCCCCCTTGTCACACATCGTCACAAATTTCTGACACCCCCCCTCCTCTAGGTGCGTGACATCATTTATGGACGGCCCCTAAGGCAGTATTCTATACACTCTTAGCTTCAAGCAGGGAATTTGAGAGTTACAATCCTGGGGCAGGTGCTGACTCAAACCCTCGAAGCACCGTCCAGGTTTGGTGGCCAAGTGGCCTCCTATAGGGCCGTCCATAAATGACGTCACGCACCTAGGGGGGGGGTCAGACATTTGTGACGATGTGTGACGAGGGGGGGTGTGGAGGTTTGAGAAATGTGACGTCACATCAAAATGCGCAACTTTAAATAAATATAGACAACACGTTCTACTTTAATAAATATACTTTTTAATAAATACTCATACTCTTTGTTTTTTTCGGTAAAGTCACGTAGGTAAAAAATCTATAAAATAAAATAAATGAAAAACAACATCAGAGTGCAGCGCCACATTAAATATGCAATGCAATGACAATAGTTTAAAGCGATTTGAAGCATGTTTTATTTTTTTGGGGGGGGGGCAGAGCTTTGTGACGTCATATTTGAGGGGGGGTCTGACTTTTTGTGACGCCGTGTGACCAGGGGGGAGGGGGGTCAAAAATCGTCCAAAATCGTGTGACATCATTTATGGACGGCCCCACAATTGTCGTGGGGTTTCTCATGGAACAGTTTTCCTCCCACGTGACGTAAACAAAACGAGAGCTCAATAAGGAATTATCCGAACATCGCAAGGAGGACCCTGATGACAATGAGTGTTGACACTCGTTTAAGACTTGGAGCAGGGCGTGGTGACGCAGGCCGCGTGCCGATGATTCAGCGCACGGGGCTGGTGGGTCATGAATAGGTTTGCGGCAATCACAAGCCTGCTTCTGACAGGTGGCCAGGAGATGGCAGTAGAGCAAGTGAGTTCCCGGCCTGTTCTGAGGAGCGGACCTGAAAGTGCCATCCACATTGTATGGTGGAGGGTGTTCTCCACAGTGCCAAAACAACAATCAACATTTAATTGGTCAAACATCCAAATGCAGCAGCCTACAGGAAAGCGGTCTTAAACATCGATATAGCTTTTTTTTAAAGAAATAAATCATAATTAAGATTGCGTGTAGAAAATAATTTGCTTTGCATCGGACAGCTGGCATTGACATACACAAATACTCTTCTCACAATCCTGTACTCAGATTTATTTTTTTTACGAAATAAATTGCCAATGTAATATGTATTGTGAAGTAAACATTTTTTTCTCTCGGATCTAAAGAGTATATTGACGAAATCATTACGTTTAGAGGAGCAAAAATTGAAAGATCTTTAATTAACTGTGTCCGTACTGGATTATGCAATCGTTACTCCCACCTCTTTGGTACTTGTATTCATTACATCGTCTTCTGAACTTCTTCCGCCGTTTCCACTGAATTAAATGTTTGTATGTTTCACGGAAAATCACGTTTAGCCAGTTACCCAGCTAGTTTTTGTATCATCAGCCACTAACAATCGAGTTGGGGTGAACAGCAGCCCAGCCAGCAATCAGCCAGGGAAATTCAAGACGTAGATTGTTGAAGAGTAGTATGATTGGTGTGTTAGCAAAACGCTTCAAATACAATAATGATATTTTATGGTGCGACATTACGCGTGTTTTTCTGCTGGTATTCGCAATGGACAGATGCGAGGCTGTAAGACGAATGATGAGCGAAGAGGAGATACAGGAGGATGAAATTGGTAGGAGGAAACAGGGGAAACGAAATAGAGAATAAGTGTAGATAATAGATGGGGGAATGGTGATGAACGAGGAACGAAGAGAGAGGGAAGAAGGGAGAGAATGAAAAAGAGAGGAAGGAGATAAGAGATAGAAGAGGAGGTAATTAAAGAACGAATGAGAGAAGGGGTGAGATGGGAGGCTATGAAGGATTAAGTGACACGGACTAAGTGACACGGAAAAATAGGTTTAGACTTAAAACTTTCGTGACTGCAGGAATTCACATTCTTGGTTCTTTCTGTAAAGTCACGTAGATAGAAAACTAAAATCCCACGACGTTTCGATGGCAACACAAGCGGCCTACTTTTCTCGCCACTTGAAGAAGACCGCTTGCGTTGCGATCGAAACGTCGTGGGTTTTGTGCTTTAAATTTAGATTTTTGTTTTCTATCTACGTGACTTTACCGATAGAACCAACAAAAAGAAAAATAGGTCATTGGAGAGGTGAGAGGGATGAGTGGAGTACAGAATCGAGGCGGCAGAGGAAGTCGAAGGCGAGGAGTACAGGAGGGGTAAGTTGATATAATAACTGGAATCACTCATGACATCTAGTCCCGTTTAACTGAAACCAGGTGCCCCTTTTTATGTCCAAACATCCCCCTTTGTGTAAAGTATCAGTAAACATCTTTAGCAAATCAAATCCTATTATTTGCTATTGTTTTAAATCAAACCCTGTGCTCACAAAGCAATTTCTCGCGCTCAATGAGTTAATGGAATGTTGGATTCGCTCATTCTTCATTCCTAACTAGTTCTCCACCCTCCGCCAGCTCTCCCCCACCCAACCCACGAGGTGTGGTGGTACAGTCCAAACTCACTCATGGGCTCCTTAAAGTCAAGGTCTGCAACCGTGCAACTCATTCATCGGCCGATCGCCCAGCGGGAAGCAGGGATCAGAGAGCAGAGGGATCGGAGTGCTATGAGCGGAGAATCTTCATCTCCCCGCAGCACAATAAACGCACGGCTCTTAATTTCGCGTGCGCTTGACTGCAGCTCACCGTGCTATGCCTCTCTCTCAGTAGCCGTCATGCAGGCAGCTGCATGTTAGGGCACTTTCTCGACGGCCCTCTTTTCATCTACTGATTTAATTATTTTATTTTGAACAGCATCGTTTAGACGCTTAGGCTACTGCCACTATTAGCCAATTTTGCTGGCCACCTCCGCGTGTCATAACTATGGGGAGACCGTTCAATGCGCACGCCCATGGGCTCCAGGCAGCGAAGACGATGCTCACGATGGTGATGCTGCTGATGGTGCCGACCTCACTGTGCGCACACAACCACGAGCGTGACCACGGCGACTCGCGCCTCGTGCGCGTGCTCGTCCTCCTGCCCGCCGACCGGGCTCGACTCTTCTCGCAGGCGCGCGTGCGTCCCGCCATCGAGTACGCGCGCGAAAGCGTGACCGGCAACGCTACCCTGCTGCCGGGTCACCGCTTCTCCATTCACTTCGCAGACTCGGGCTGCGGCAACGAAGCCCTCTTCTCAGCCGTGGACTTTTACACAGAGCACGGGGCCCCACACCTCATCCTTGGTCCCGCGTGCGAGTACGCGGCCGCGCCCGTCGCTCGCCTGGCCGTTCACTGGGGGGTCCCCATGGTGTCTGCAGGAGCCCTGGCCAGCGGTTTCTCCAGCAAAGGCCAGGCGTCTTCTGCGCCTCCGTCTTCTTCTTCTTCTTCATCATCATCATCATCATCTCCCGCGTCATATTCCAAAGATGAATATCAGACTCTGACGCGGGTGGCCCCGGCGTACGCCCAGCTCGGTGCGCTCTTCCTGGCCATGTTCCGTCGCTTCAGCTGGAGCGGAGCCTCCCTAATCTACAACGACGACATGAAGGAGCGAGATTGCTTCTTCACCGTGGAGGGGATCCACCAGACGTTCGCGAAGCAGCACCGTGGATTCGAGCTGCAGCCCTTCTCCTTCGACAGTGAGCACCAGGACCTGGACTTTGGCGAGATGCTGGAGGGCGTCGTCCTCAGTGGGCATGCAGGTGCGGTTTGCGGTCGCGCGCTTTGTGTCTCTTTTCATATAGAAGCCGTGTAAAATATCAGGTCTCCGATGCGACTGTCGGGTTTCTCCCGCCGCCTGTCGTTGGGCATCATGTGCGAGGTCTCGCCGCACGTGCAGGGAAGAAGCGAAGTTGCCGAGGAAGCTCCCAACACGTGGAGGATCACGCCAGAACAGCACGCGGTAGAACACGAAGACGGGATACACCAGAGAGCTGGGCACCACACACAGAAAAACCTACGCGGTAGCATTCAGCAGAGTACTAGTATACAGTATTGTATTATGCGTGTATGTTGAACTTCTTTCGCACCGTACGTAGTCAACCGTGCTAATAGGAGGTATTTGTATACTATGCAGTATAGACCAGTGGTTTGTCAACTCCTCAGTACAGCGTTATGTTATTTCCAACTAGCAGGTCCGTGCAGTGTGTAGTGATTTGCAAATTAATAAAAAGATTGGTAATAATCACTAAAACGGGGCCGATGGGGGTGAGTGTCGCGAGGACTGTAGTTGATAAGCAGTTGTCGACTGTTCGGTCAAGTGCTTGTTAGCGAGCACTTATTAAGGCCGCAATTGCTGAATTTGTCTCTACAAGTGCTGAAGTTTACACACCACAGCGGATTATAATGCCAAGTCGAACTCAGGTGAGGTCCGGGACACGTTTAGATATCACTCGCCACTGATGTTGGCCGTGCCTGGAAATCGAACTCAGATCGACGGGTTCGTAGCGCAGTGCGCTTTCCACTCCCAATACCAACATGTGCCTACAGTATAATATAGCACATATGTAATCATTATCATCATCATCAGTCACAATCCATCCACTGCTGAATCAGACTCCTGCTTTATTTAAATAAGGATATAGGGAGACCCCCAAGTGGAAAAGTCTCCATATTAAAGGAGACCTCAGTGGGTGACAAAAGCAATTCAGCACAGAACATAGACCTTATGGTGGAGCGGTGGTGTAGCGGTGATCGTACTGCGTTATGGTTGAATGGGTGAATGAACTTGTGAACGAATAAATGGTTTAGTGAATGGATTTTAAACTTAATAGGTAGGTGATTGAGTGCAAGAACGAGTAGGTACATAATTAAATGGATGAATGGATGAGTAGTTGATTGAATGGGTGAATGAATGAATTCGTGAATAAATCAATGGTTGAGTGAATTGATTGTAGAATTATTGAATAGGTGGATGAACGAGTGATTGAATAAGATGATTGAATGAAGGAGTGGTTTAATTAATGGGTCAATGAATGATTGCATTATGAACTAAACATGTATACTATAATTGTAATGTAATAGGAACAATTAATGTGTTTCTGCGTGTCATCCACACAGACAAACATCCCCAGTTAAACTACATTGGCTTATGGGGCGAGAGTTGTGAGCATGCACCCATTAAGGCTGACACAGCAAAGCACATTCTGAATTGCAGGCATCCACCGCTAATTCAAAAGCTTCCATTTTCCGTGGTTAATCAATTTATAGACAACCAATATGTTTTAACCACCTGTTCTGAGCTGTTAAAAAGAGATGGGCACTCTCCGCATGTGCAATTGGTTCCCTCTCTTCACGAACTACCCATTTTCACATCCCCTTTGAACCAAAAGCATCGAGGATGCCTGCACCTACACCGAACCTTTTCATATTACCTCTGTACTGTTTTTTGATAAGCGTGTGTGTCGTCTTACGGCCGTGAAGCACCGAGTTTATTGCGCAACATTCCTTAAGGACCCCCGGACTATCTATCTCTCTCTCTGCGATGTTAATGTTTTCATCTTTGTTATTGTTATCGCCATAGGCGGATTTTGCGGGGGCGGCGGGGGGGGGGGGGCGCACGGGGGGTTCACAGCATCACAGATCTCCCGAGTAAAATAGCCAGACAGCTGACTCAACGGGATCATCCGTGCAACAAATAGCATAAACTTAACTAACAATTGAACGAAAAATACTCTGATATTTGTTCAAATATTAAATATCCAGCAGGCGCTTCAATTCGGTGTTTTGGATCTCCAGTCCCTATGTGCCCGCTCGGCACAGCAGTTCTTCGTGATTAACCAGCCGTCAGGTCCACGCATGCAACGTGCAGTGACTTAATTTGCATGTGAATAGAAACTATTTATGATCGCGAAAAGGCAGATTGTGGTCGCGCGGTCTGCAGTTCAAAGACACAACTTTAACTTAAAAAGCTCAAAAAGATAGTGCAAATAACATTAATATTAACTAGCTTCAATAAGGAATCTTATATTCTTATGGTAAAGCCATATCACAGAATTTAACACGGATTCAAAATGCCTTCAATTGCCAAGCTTGCAAATAGCACGAGACGACACAGACGTTCACGTTTCAAGTTTTTTGTTGTTTAACAAGTTGAGAACGCAACGAGAGCAGAACAGTATCATTTGCATGCGTGACTAGAAGCCCCATTGCCTAAAACGTCAGCCTACTATGCACTCATTCTTGGAATTGGCCAAATAGTTCAACGTAGGAGCCTCCTGAAAGAGAGTCGTAAGGCTCAGTAAGGATAACAAAGACACGTGTTATTAAATGTGAAATGATATGTAATTATTATATATGTGCCAACACGTGCAGTCAATTAATCAGGAAGGTGGAAATTGTGTTTAAATCTGTGCTTGCATTAGCACTGCCGAAGTGTGAATTACGGCTGCCGATGACTGCACACAACAACAAGACTGTTCAATTTTGATTTAAAGCTTTCGTGACTGCAGGGATTCATATTCTTGGTTCTTTCGGTAAAGTCACGTAGAAGGGAAACTAAAACAACAAAAAATATAACACAATAAATAATAAAAAAGAACCAAGAATAACAAGACTGTTCTCTACTGAGAAGGGCCGCACACGCTCTCCATGGGTGCACTGAATGCATTTGCACAGTAGATAAGCTATAAAACCTGGTCTTGTAAAGGAGGCAAATAGAGAATTGAAGGAAAATAAATTGGACGAAGGGTGCGACATAGAAATGCCGCGGCCATACGGAATGAAGATAATCGACATTCTTGGCCAAAAAAACGGCGTCTCAATTACGCGTCCCAGCGTCCATAGCTGGGATTCCTCCCCTGGTGCCAGGTTTCCCCCCACCCCCATCCTCCTCCACTTACCCCAAGTCCCTCACCTTTCCCTCTCACGGTGAAAACTCTTGAGACCCAGACACTGATATATTTATTGAGGTGCTGGTGACAGGAAGCGATAAAATACTTCCAAATTCATAATCATAGTATTACCAATACTTTACCCATGGCAGCCTTAACCTTTTTTTTTAAAGAGAAGATGAAGATATGCCATGCGCATGCGAGGGGGTAACTTTACCCGTTGGCTACCTCGCAGCCCCATACACCGCCTCTTGAATAGCCTTTTGTCTCTTTTTTAAGGCAGTGTTATTTACGCATGTGTTGATATTTTTGCACAAATAAGAAGAGACTAATTTTTGATTTAAAGCTTTCGTGACTGCAGGGATTCATATTCTTGGTTCTTTCGGTAAAGTTACGTAGAAAGGAAACAATAAAATAATAAAAATATAAAATAATAAAAATCTAAAACAATAAAAAAATATTTTTATTATTTTATTGTTTCCTTTCTACGTGACTTTACCGAAAGAACCAAGAATAAGAAGAGACTACATGTTAATGACCACTCATCCTCTCACTCTAGCTGATATCTTAAATGAAGTCTTGTAGTTTGTTTTAAATGGCCTAAGGTCTCATCCAGGACCTTCCTGAAAAAAATAATAGTTGAGACTCAATGAGCCATGCAGAAGGCCACTTAAGTATCCTGAGGAAAAACAAACTCCGCACACGCTTACGAAGATACGACATTCCTGCTGAACTCGCTGATGTGTCATCTTCTGGACACCCCGGAGCCCAGCAGCTGTGGAAGTGTCATACATCTACGTGATCCAACAACCCTCGCCTCCAAATATTGAGAGAGGATTGCTGCCCTACTGCCGCCCACCCCCCTCAGACGTGGAGGGTCAAGCTTTAAGACCAATCAGTAATTTGATTTTGTTGATGGGCCACATGCCCCATGTGCCCCCAGAGGGTACTCAAACTCAAGTTGAAAAAAAGTCATCATCACGGCTCGTGTATCTGATGCCACCCACACCTCGCCATCGCTTCCTTCCTGCAGCACAGCGATTGCACACTCGACACTTGACCCACAAATCTGCTCCTGCTGGTGATACCCTACATTGAGTTTGTGTGGTATGGCATGATCGTGGGAGATGGCGGTGGCTTGGGAAGCCTTCATCCAGCAGTGGATTGCCCGTGGCTGATGATGATGTGCATTTGGATGTTGTCAGCCTGCAACTTTCCACTGCTTTACAAAGGCATCGCCTCACTTTCTGCCATCACTTCCTTTCTTTCGTTATTCTTGTCCAGTCGTGGCCACAGAACTCTTTGATTTTGTCTCGCTGCTGCCATCTCTTTCCCCTGCGAGCTGCTCTCGGTATCCACGCCGCGGAGTTAACGTTGTCCATCCCTCGGTGTGTGCCCTCCATTTTGGCTTGTTCCATCCTCTGCGGTTATCTCCACCGCCGGCACCCCCCAAAATATGTCCCAGAATCGCCACTGTTTAGGTTTCTGTTGTCATAACATCTCGCTAAGAGTTTAGGAAATATCTTTAGGGCGCAAGGCGCGTTCTTCGCGGATTACCCGCGGATTTGAAGTGTATATACGTGTGTTTGCAGCACCTGGAAAGTACGTCTCATACACGAACGATAACGGGCAGCCACACTACCAGAGCGAGCTGTCGACTCATGCACACCTCGTGTGGTTGTGTGGTGGTGTGGTTAGCACCACGCCCCGAGAACTTGGAGAGGACCAGAATGAGTTCAGGATTCTCCTCGCCGTTGATCTTGGCCAATTGAACTCGGTTGGCCGAGTCCATGGGGCTGTTGCACTGACTACTTCGCCACAGATCCCCGCACGAAAACATTCACATAATCAAACAAAGACCCCCCCGTATAGCCTGGTAGCCTGTAACAGACTGAAGGGGCACGTGCTGTTAGCGAGCACCTATGAAGGCCGGTACGGCACACAAAGGGGTGGGTGGCCAACACCACGCCCGGCCACCTTTGTCTCCCCTAGTGGCGATGTTTACACATCGCACCAGGTACTCATTTGAGGCTGAGTCGACCTAGGGGAGGCCCAGGACCGGTTAAGATAATCGTGACTGGGTGTTGGCCGTGAGCGGTAATCGAACCCGGGTCGATAGATTCGTAGCGCAGCGCGCTATCCGCTACACTGCCGCTCCCCACACACAATCAAACACCTCCTAACACACAAACAAAATCACCCTAAACAACAACAATAACAACCATCACCGCCATTCGCCACTAAGTGGCGGTGACGTCACAACGGCGCTTTTGTGCCGGGCAATGTGCACTTTGAAGTGTAAAGTGTCGACGGTTTGCTGGCAGGAGGTAACGGGACAGACACAGTTGGGTTGAATTACTAAGACGACTGACAGATGCACCACCTGTGCTGGTGTGCTCCCTGATGTGCCAACTCGCTGCGTTTTATTCGCCCAGCGCTCTTCTCGTTGTTGTGAGCGTCGCTCCTCTGTCCTCCGCTGTTGTTGAAGGGCGACTGCCTCCACTCCGTGAACTCTCTCCAAAGAGGCCAAACTCGACACCACTGATACCAGTCACGGCAAGTCCACTCAACACCACTTCCTCCTGTACAACATCAGCCTATCTCCTCTCTAGCCTTATCCGGTCAAACAGAAGCTGCTTGTGCGCGCGCGCACACACACAAAGGTAGATGCTCAATCATACCCATAAGTACACACAAATAAAAATACAAACACCCCCCCCCCCCCTCGTATAGCCTTAAAAAAACTGTTGGGGCAAATGCTGTTAGCGAGCACCTATGAAGGCTGGCAGAGCACACAAGATGATAGGTGGCCAGAACCACGCCCGGCCGCATTTGTCTTCCTAGTCGCGATGTTTACGCATCGTGCCAGGTACTCATTTGAGGCTGAGTCGACCTAGGGGATGCCCAGGACCGGTTCAGATAATCATCACTGGGTGTTGGCCGTGAAGCGGGAATCGAACTGGCATCGGCGGGCTCGTAGCGCAGCGCGCTGAGCGCTCCATTACCACGCACGCCCAGTGCAATAACACATTGTCAAGCACATGTGCAGGCGGTGTGCATCACAAAGTCGCTGCCATGGAACGTCTCGGACACTGACAGACGGAGCAAAATAAAAACCAAAACCAACTCTAAAACCCCAACCACGTATAAGGCTCGCGGTGGCGACGGCGCATCGATGCGAGATGCATTGTAAATCACGCGTAATGGTGCGGGGAAGGCGAGAGAGAATCCCGCCCTGTCCACGCCATCGTACAGAGATGGCAGAGATATGAATGATGTGCATGCGCGTTGTGGGAAGCGGTAGGTGCAGCAGTTCGCGTGCCGCGCTACGAACCCGGTGGCTCGAGTTCGATTCACGATCACCAACACCAGTGACAATTATTTGAACCGGTCCTGGGTTTCCCCTAGGTGGAATCAGCCTCAAATGAATACCTGTTGTGTTGTGTGTAAACATCACCACTGGGGAGACAAAGGTGGCCGGGCGTGATGTTGGCCACCCACCCCCTCGTGTGCCGCACCGGCCTTCATAGGTGCTCGCTAACAGCACCTGCCCCAACAGTCTGCTAAGGCTACACGGGGGATCTTTGTCCTTGTTGTGTGTGTGTGTGTGCATATGGGTAGTGGAGCGGACACTGCGCTACTAGTAACGCGGCGACGTAAGTTCCATTCTTCTTGCTGGCACAGACCCCCTCGACTACGTCGTGACTAATAGACGCTTGCTAACAGCACTTACGCCAATAATTAGCACGTCCCGAACAGCACGGTTGGCTACGTACGCTGCGAGCGAAGTTCATCACAGTTCGCACCGCTCGATATTGGGGGTGGGGGGGTTGATGCCGTGCGCTTTGCGCGTCAATGCGTGAGCTCGTTATGGCACACGAGAGACGTCGCTCTCGCATAGGCCCGTCTTTATTGTTGTTCCGCTAAAATTCACAACGGCCAGCTCCGATTTAATGACAAAAAAAATATCCACGAGCGTCAAGGCGACCGCAACGAAGCGCGGTGCCGTTGCGTGTGTTTTCCCAGCGCTCCCTTATCTTCACCAGCGGGGCTTCCTCCTCTTAACTTCGCAACGAGAAACACAGATACGCCACGGCATGCGCTCATTGCATAAACGCGACGGACGAAGAGGCAGCGAGAAGAGAGAGAGGGAGAGAGAGAGAAAAAAAGAAAGCGTTTCATGATGTAGAGTCAATACGTGCATGGTTCCCGGTGGGTTCATTTCAGCTGCAACAGTTCGGAGAGACGTGTTCTCCCTCGCATGGTACAGCACTAGCTCGTGGGTTCGATCCCGGAGCCTGGCGATGCCTGTTGTATATTTGGAGTCCTGCGTGTTCTCGCTGTCCCCGTGGTGGTCGCGTGGATTGTTCTCCGGGTTCCTCGATATTTAGACTCAACACGCGTTTAGATTATTTGGCTGCTACTATGAAGTCCCACGTGTGATGATGATGATATCGTTCGTTCGATGAGCTATCATGTGTGACCAGGTCACCTTTCGAATACCTCAGTGGGCTTTACCTTGTAAATAAAAGCTTGTTGAGTTTATTTTGGAACGCCACATCCACATCACCTTATTTTGTCCTAACCCCGTTCAGAGAATTATTGGAATATATGGAGCTACTCTATCGGATTATTTTGCATAGGCATGACTTACGCCGATAATCATGAATCCAGGCCAGCGTCTCGCAGCGTGAATCAAGTCACTTGTGCCACGTGTAGCAGTCTAACCCTGGGCTCGCATTGCCACTTGGTAAATTCTTCTTCCCCTTTCCAAAATGCAGGTTCGATGGGGTGAGTGATCTGGCCTGGAGAACAAGAAAAGACGTTACTCTTTTTTAAAATATATATTTTTTTAACCCAAAATCATTGCAACTGAATTATAGGCATGCCATCATCAGACACAGTGTCCATTCCATGCCCATAATCAATATCACGGTCATGTGGAATTTCCATTGCTTGTTGACTCAGGCCGACAGTGGAGTTTGAGCGCTGACCCGATGACGATTTAAGCTACAGGACGAACTCTCGACTCGACGTGGACTCGCTGTGTTTTTTTTTCTCTCGTCTCAGTCGTGATCATTTGTGCCGGAGCCGACTCGGTGCGCGAGATTCTTCTGGAGGCGCACAGGAAGGGCATGACCGGTGGGGACCACGTGTTCTTCAACATCGAGCTCTTCAACAGCACCCAGTACGGTGAGGGAGCAGCGCGAACTATACCCAGAACCCTTGGGGGGGAATCCTCGCCCTGAGGCAAGAGCCCCAATTGACCGCCCAGCGTACAAAATAACTCAACACACTCGTCAACGCCTTTAAAGGAGAAAAAAAGGTATATAAATATCGGGTAACGGGCCTTCTTCATAGCAAAGGGCCTTCTTCGTACGCAATGTTGTGGATAATTACGCGTGAAAGCATAAATAAGCAGAACTCTTATTCTGTATTCCCACGTTAAACAAAGAAATCCGTGTTTCCATCGGGCTGTTATTGACTTTTCAGATCAATACTGTACTATCCTGCCAGCATTTGTTGACGCAAGCTCTTGGAGTGTGTCTCCCGTAATTAAACTAACGCGAAACAAGTTCTGAAGCGTATCGTGAGAAGGTGGTTGCGTCCCAGCCACCGAACAACAGGCCCAGCATTACTCGGATGAAAAGGAAGAAAGGGGGGGGGGGGGGGGGGGTGGGGGCGCAGTTGTTGACTGCGCGAACTGACGGTGGATGGGTTCAGGTGACGGCCGGTGGCGGCGTGGTGACGGGCTGGACGGGGAGGCGCGCGCCGCGTTCCGCGCGCTGCGCACCGTCACCCTGCTCCGCACCCAGCGGGCCGAGTTCGACTCCTTCTCCGTGGAGATGAAGCGCCGCTCCCGCGAGACCTTCAACTTCAGCTACGACGACAACGTGAGCGCGACGGGAGGGTCGGGTCGGGTTGGGTAGGGAATGGAGGGAGCAAGAGAGATGGTGAGGGTGCTGGCGCTTGGGGTGGAGAGATTCAGGGGGGCGGCGTGGGGAGGTAGCGATTGTATTTGGTGGTGGTTAAATGGTTGTATGACGGTGGTTGCGGTTGTTTGAGTGACTAGGTGGTTTTGGTGGTAGTTGTGTGAGTGCGTTGATGGCGGTGTTGGTTGCCCGTTTAAGTGGGTGGCAGAAGTTCTGGTGGAGGTGATTGAATGTGCGAGAGAGGGAGTGTATTGCGTTGGTTGTTGTTCGAGTGAATTCATGGCAGGAGGTTGTGGTTTAGTGTGAGTGAGTTTGATGGCGGCGGCGGTGGTGTTGGTGGTGGCGGCGGCGGTGGTGGTGTTCGCGGTGGTGTTGGTGGTGGATATTTTTGCGAGTCGGGCAGCGGTAGTTGCCGGCCACGCGAGCGAGCTGATGATGGTCGGCGTCTGCCCGTGTGCCCGGTCGCTCGCAGGTGAACATGTTCGTGGAGGGCTTCCACGACGGCGTCGTTCTCTATTCGCTCGCTCTGCACGAGGTCTTGGAGGCCGGCGGCTCCATCAGCTCGGGCCGGGACATCGTGACGAAGATGTGGAATCGCACCTTCCAAGGTGAGACCCATGCTGCTGATGATGATAGACCATGGATAATGATGATTGTGATGGATAGACTAATTAATTAATTCATTCATCGCGCATAGTCAGTGAAAGACCGTTGCGCCAAACGTGTGACCTCTTGCGACGGCATTCGCAAGAACTGCCCTTGCTGCCATACACTGGTGTCCCGAGTGACTTATTTGATCCACGCATCACGGTGGGAGGGCGGGCGCCATTTCTTTGAGTTTCGCAGTCCTCACTTGGAACGTCAAATCCGCCAACCGAAGCGCAGTCATTTCCTGGCGTTGCGCATCAACATGGCCGACGTGTCCACAACGTGACAATCGTCCCCCTCGAACTGAGCTCTCAGTCGCAAGGAGACCGATCGACTAATGCTGATTATGTTATATTTTCCCATCAGGCATTGCAGGACCAGTGACCATAGACCAGAATGGAGACCGTGTCGGAGACTTCTCGGTGTTAGCGATGGATGATGGAGAAGATGGGGGGCAAATGGTGAGCCCCCCCCCCCCCACTTTCCCCCTTACCCACCCCCCCCTATCCTCTTATCGTGTAGCTTTCTAGCTACGCACAAAGGCTGTGTGTGCGCCAGGCTGTCCAACACAAGTTTGAAACTTCAATAATGAGAACAAGACTCTAAAGGGCCCATTAGGAATGTGATTGCTGAGCATTATAGAGATGCACCACTTCTTCGATTAAATAAAATGCTTAAGCTCAGGATGCATGTATGGAATCAATGTGTATCAGATTCAACTCAAATACGATAAGTCCTCACTTTAATGTGAATTTTCAATTTGGGAACACTTTGGGGGCACGACGCGGAATGCGCCCGTTATAAAGAAGGATGTATGCCGTTATAACACGGTTTCTGAGCAGTTGATGAACTACTTTCTTAAGCTATGGTAAAATAAAAAAATAGTTAATAGTAAATAGTTTAGGTTAGATTCATCTGTTTGGGCAGCGTCTTTGCCATGCATTACCCCCTGGCTCACGGTAGCGTGCGCCGTGACCGTTGCAGGTGGTGGCCAACTACTACGGGCGGACGGACAGCTTCGACGAGGTGGCTGGGGCACGCGTGTCTTGGCCACAAGAAGCCTTGGCGGTGATGACCCCCCACGGCACGCAGCTGGCTCCCCACGAGTGTGTGTGCCACGCCTGTGAGTAGGCCCCGCGCCAGCGGTCACATCCCACGGCTCATCCATCTCGTCCACATCATCATCATCGTCGAGGTCGCCGTCGTTTCATTAGTTAATGAAATGTTAATATATAAGGGAATTGGACTGATTCACTCCGCTGGCGAGTCTATGGATTGTTACGATTTAGGGTCGAAATTCTAGACAAGAAAATGTTTTTGTTTACATCACGTATGTACTGTATGTTGAACTTCTTTTGCGCCGTACGTAGCCAACCGTGCTAATTGGAGGTGTGGACGGTAGCGCGTTAGTTGGCTGCAGGAATTACATGAACCCTGCTGTCACGTGACGAGAGTGCGATATGATGGAGTCAGCCTATGCGATTTGAAAGTATTTTTTTCATTTAGGATTTCTCAAACTGTCATCTCAAAGCCCATCGACACGCAGCTTTCGGCATGCATTTACAAGATACAAGCCATTTGTTTGAGGGCTCTTTTTTGGGTTCCAATGCTCATCTGACCGTCACTCTGCACAGAGGGATGTGTTCCGAATCCGTGCAGAAAGAATCCATGCCGAGCGAAGACCAGGTGGATGCCTACATATGACTTCTACTTTAGCCTTGGCGGGCTTAATCGTTCTAAGTAGGTTTTTACTACCGTTGACCCCACCACATAACTCCCAACTCCCCAGCACAACCAGTAAATGCTCACTGCTGGCACGGGCTAGGCCTATTGAAATTCCGTACGGCTCGCCGGGCATAAAAAAAATGTGCCTGTGTTATTTGGTTCAACACACGCTGTATGCAAATTCGATTTCATCTCTCCGCTTGACCGACTGCCCGTTTCTCATTACAAAGCAAGAGCATGCCGGCTGTCATCCTTAAATCCTCAGCCTTGGGCCGTGCGGCTTATTGACGCATGGATGGAGGGGAATTTTTTTTCTATTCGGTCGTGTTTTATTTTTAGTTATTATGCCATGGAGAGACTGGCTCCTGCCACCAGAAAATACAATTTCTACCGCTGGTTCATAGCCATCAGCGGAGATCAGCATTGCTGCTCGCTTTAAGAGAGTCAGCTTGATTTTTAATGATGACCGTGAGCAGCAGCAGACTTTTCCCACTCTCGGTCGGCTTGAGCGTCACACTCCAAAGGAAGCGAATTACTTGGTTCACTGATGATGGGGAGTATATTTATTTTTTACGCACGAGATATCAAGTGAATGAAACGCTATGCACTATAAGCAGTCATTTTTGCGGGAACAATAAAAAAAGTGTTTTTTAAAACTATTTTGCTAGTCACTGGCATGCACGATGAAGCCAAATTTCAGCTTTCTGTTCCTTCTAGAACATCATGAGAATTTACATAAATCACTCACTCACACCTGTCATAATATTCAATCCGTGAACGGTTATTACATCTACTGCTTTCCGTTTCCTTCTGATTTGTGACATGCTGACGGGAAAACGGAGTGGTCGCTTCGCGAAATGTCAATAAACGCACGGTTCTTGGAGCGTGTCTGTAACTCAGGGCATGTCATGCCGGTGGAAATGCCATTCCATCCACTCGAGATAGGACGCCCTCGTCTTTCATTCACGAATGGGTTGACTGTGTTTTATATTTTACTTTAACCCATACGGGAAACTCTTGAGACGATGAATCTCTTTTGTAAGAGACGCCTTGGCATGCACGATGGATCTTGCACATAGCCTTACACACCTACCCCTATAGCTTGGTCATGTGTTCCCATTCTCCTGTGGATGTCTGACGGATTAACCTATCCCTGCCATACAATTCTGCAATTCCCACCACCGACTCTGCGGTGCTGTAACCAAGGGGGTGAGCGCCACCCTACGCTCGCCTCTGATTTGCATGGCTGGCTACGTGCAGTGCAAAATAATTTAAACATACATGTGAGTGAGAAATCATTTTGAGATTGAACTTGTCGATGTGTTCTCTCAGTGACCACAACACTTTTACACATTATGCATCTTCACTACACACGATGAAGGGGTGGGGGGGAGGGAGTTTGAGAATCGGACGGGGTGGAGGGGGGGGGGGGGTCCCCACTCAATTCCGAGCACCGGGACTCATGCCTGCCAAGTTGCCCACACACCGCTACCGCTACACGACTCACTGTGAGTTTGCGTCTCCCCCGCTGTGCACGCCAGACGGACTCGGAGACGCCAGCACCGTTGCGATCATCGTCGGCTTCCTGCTGGTCTGCGCGCTTCTCTTCGCCACTTTCGTCTTCAGGTGAGTGCCCGGCTATGCCAGGTGTGTGTGTGTGTGTGGGGGGGGGGGGGGTTGGTCGTGTGTGCTTCTCCGCACACGCGACGTGTGGCGCAAGCAAGCCACAACTGAAGCGACCGTTGTGGTTCCCTTCACGTGGAGCGTACCACACGGCGGCAAGGTCGGCGGTCAGGGCGTGTCGGGGCCGCGGGGTCGTCTCACAGGCGAAGTTCTAGACGCTGACCAGGCCACGCCATCGCACGTCCCAATTTCGGGTAGACAAGGCACCTCGGTTGTTGCAAAGTTTGACAGCTGTCCTCGAAGGACGCCTCTTCCAGTTTCATCATCACTGCCATCCGGCCTTAGGTCTTCCTACTCGGTCGACGACCCCTGGCCGGTGCCGCTCCAGCGGCTCTGTCGGTGACCTGCCCTCCTCCAGCCTGCTGTGCACGTCTCCGACACACACCGCGATCTCCTCTTCCCGATTATATCTACGAGACTATCTTGTCACCTTCTACGCCAAACCTTCCATTGGTTACTTAACGTCCTCTGTAATCACGTGCTTTCAAAGGCCAGAAGCATTTAAAAATATATATTTTACTTGTTATTAATGTTTTTGAAGCGTGTATATGTGCACGCATAACAAGATTCAATTATTGATCGCCACGTGATCCACCAACCCCATTTCAAGTTGTCTAGATGACATGGCCACTACACAAGGCCATATATTTTGTATTGGACACACACACACACCCATTCACACTCTGACAAAATAAAGTCAAAGACCACCAATATAGTCTTATAGACAGTTGGGGCAAGTTCCGTTAGTGACCACCTACTAAGCCTTAAGGGCTCACGTTAAGGAGGGGGGGGGGAGGTGCAGCCAACATAATGCTCAGTCACTTTAATCTCCCCAGTGCGTGTGTTACACACCACACCAGCGACCCACTTAACGCTGAGTTGGCGTTAGAGAAGAGCAGGGACCGTGCAGATATCATTCACCGCTGATTGTTAGCTGTGGACGGGAATCAAGCTCGGATTGTTATAGGTTTGTAGCGCGGTTCGCTAGCCACTACGCCACTGCAAAGACAAAGCTCCGCCCTATAGCCTACACATACTCTTAGGGTAAGTGCTGTTTGCGAGCACATATGAAGGCCGGCACGGTACATATGGGTGGCCAGCACCACGCCCGACCGCCTTTGCCTCCAGCGGCGATGTTTACACACCGCACCAGGTATTGATTTGAGGCTGAGTCGACCTACGGGAGTCCTATGACCGGTTCACATAGTTGTCACTGGTTTTGGCCGTGAGCGGGAATCGAACTCGGAGAGTGAAGTTCGTATGCAGCGCGCTGACCGCGACGCCACCGCTCCCCACCCCACTCTCTCTCTCTCTCTCTCCCACGTGCATTCTCATTTCCATGTCAATGCTATCAGCCAGACACAAAGCAAAAGCCCCGGGGATTTAAATTCACACGCGCCTGACCTCCCTAGATCCTTCCACAGCCACCACTACAAGCACCATTACCAGCACCACCAATGCGACCACCAGCACCAAATACAAAGATCCCCCGTGTAGCCTTAACAGACTGTTGGGGTAAGTTCCGTTAGCGAGCACCTATGAAAGCCTGCACGGCACACGAGGGGGTAGGTGGCCAGCACCACGCCTGGCCGCCTTTGTCTTCTTAGTGGAAATGTTTTTACACATCACACTAGGTACACATTTTGAGGCTGAGTCGACTTAAGGGAGGCCCATGACCGGTTCAGATAGTCGTTACTGGTGTTGGCCGTGAACGGCATCGAACTCGGGTCACCGGGTTCGTAGCGCAGCGTGCAAATCACTGCACTACCGCTCGCCACAGCACCACTACCAGTAACACCAACAGCACCAACACCCACCACCACAAGCAACGCCACCAAATCTTTATAAACACCACAATCACTACCACCGTAACAACATCAACCACCACATCATAGCCAGCAACACCGAGGGCACCATCAACCGTCACCACAACACGGCAACAACAATGACCATCACCAAGACCACTGCAACGCGAGGAGTACAGCTCGCTTAAAGATAAGAACCTTGAAGCCCTCTGGAAAAATATATTTCACGAATATATTTCATGATAAACTATGCTTGTCCCTTGTATAATACCCTTCCGCCCTCCCTTACTAATGATCTACTACCGTGGATCGCCATTAATATATCTTTTTTTATCAGTAGCACTTCACGTTGTAACGTTTGGACATTTAGCTCAACGAGCAATCTTACTCCCTTTTTATAATTAACAGTGGACCTTAAGTGACTTACGGGAAGGCGGGGGATGGATGGGTGGTGGGAGATTATCGGTTAAAGAAAGACACGACTCAAGTAAAACATATCTCCCATGTTGTAAATCAGCTGACAAGTGCGCAAAGAAGTCATGCAGTTCAAAAGTCAGAAGTTTAGATGTGGAAGCATGCAGGCCCAGGACTGGCCACAGGGCAACATCCCTGGCAAAGCCTCGGTGGGCCGGTCCATTCCAAACGCCGGTTTGTGTTTGTTTTTTTTTCGCCCAGCTCAAATGTGCCAATGGGATCGCATGGTAAAATCACGCTAACACGTCACACCGCAAATCTTGCTACTGGTATGCAGTTGGTCGCACGACAACCATTTAACAAAAACAATAATTGCCCATGGCCGAATTTGGCCCGGTTAGTTTACAAATGCCTGGCGCCAATTTTTAGTCCCACTCCGTTTACTGGTTTGCATGCTTGAGTTGACGCCGAGAGACAGAACGAGGAACACGTGGAGAGTACTTTCTATACATAACGCACCCCAGAGACGTCATATCGGCCGTGAAGTAAAGTCAGTGGGTTCGGGCACAGGACACGTAGCCGCAATCAGGGACGATTCGTGCGTCGGTGATCGAGACTAATGGACGAACTAACTGGCAGCCAAAGGTGTAAATATTAATGTGTTGTTAAACCCGCCAACACCCGACACAGCCAATTAGTAAGGTTTGTCACGAAAACAGAACATGCCAATTCGTTACTAGTACAGCACACCGCTGTAATGGTGAGCAAATCCACAACATTTACAATCTGAGTACGACGTTTCTCCAGTATATAATTACAGCTGGCATCATCAGGCGGCAGACAGATTTGTTTTGCTTACGTGACAAACCTTACTATTCGGCTGTGTCGGGTGGTGGCGGGTTTAACGACACATTTATATTCATGCGATCTAACCCAAAAAAACCCGTATCATGGATGATATTTGTCGCCAAAGTGTACGTGCTAAACACACATGATAGGTGCTGGCCACCCACCCCCTCGTGTGCTGTGCCGGCCTTCACATGTGCTCGCTAACAGCACTTGCCCGAATAGTTTATTAAGGCTATACGGGGGGTCTTTGTCTTTGTGCACACCCGAGGCTACAAGTGTACGAGGCTGTCCAACACAAGCTGGATGCGCCAGAGAGATGGAGCGATGAAATGATCTTGTGTGGAGAAGCTAGACGGAGCTGGCGAAAGTTTGAGGAGGCCTTCAGCCAGCAGTGAATAGATCATGGCTCATGGTGATGACGTTGTAGAAAAGGAGAGTAACTATTAGGGGGCGGCTCGTATTCTTTTGGCGCCAGGGTAGCGAAATGTGAGCTAGCTCACGTGGTATACAGGAGGTGGTGGGTTCGATCCTGACCCTGACGCCTATATATTTGGAGTTTACATGTCTCTTTCTCCGCGATTTCGTGGATTAATTTTCTCTGATTCCCCCGATTTATTCCTCTACATTTAGAAACATGCGTTCAGGGTATTTAATTTTGCCGTCATAAATTTACACATAAGCCACTTCGTTGAGCTATCATTTGTAGGCCAGGTCGCTTCTGAAAAAGAGCTATATAGCTCAGTGGGCCTTACCTGGTAAAATAAAAAAAATAGTTTATCGTAAATAGTCACGGCTACGGCTCGGTCTCGAGGACAGTTCTGCTCGGGCACGAGTGGCTCAATCTTGGCTTGGCTCAGGCTCAGCTCCCCGGAGTCTGGCTGGGACCGTTTTCAGAGCCGGCTCAAGTTAAGCACGGCTTCGAGCCAGCTCACTTCCAAGCCTGCGCCAATCCGTGATCAAGAATACGGGTCTCTTGAGGATGCTCACGATGCTGCTGCTGCTTCTGCTGCTTCTGCTAATTGTGATTCTGATGGTGATGACTCAGGAGGCTGTACGAGGTGCGCGTGAAGAGGCGGAGCTCTTCGCTGGGAGACGACACCGAGAAACACAGGCAGCTCCGACAGGACTCAGTCCGCTCGCACTTCACGGCCGCATAGAACCCGCGTCCAGCAGCAGCAGCAGCACCACCAGCAGCACCAGCAGCACCAGCAGCACCAGCACCAGTAGCACCAGCAGCACCAGCAGCAGCACCACCAGCAGCAGCACCAGCAGCACCAGCAGCAGCAGCACCAGCAGCACCAGCAGCACCAGCAGCACCAGCAGCACCAGCAGCAGCTCCAGCAGCACCAGCAGCAGCACCACCAGCACTAGCAAGCAGCATCGTCATCAGCACCACCAGCCGCAGTACCACCAGCCGCAGTACCACCAGCCGCAGCACCACCACCGCATGCAGCAGTGGTATCATAACTAGCACCGCCACTACTACGAGTAGAGTAGCAGCAGCAGCACCAGCAGTATGAGCAGCACCAGCAGAATCAGCAGTATCATCAGCACCAGCAGCACCAACAGTATCAGCAGTATCAACAGTATCAGCAGCACCAGCAGCACCAGCAGTATCAGCAGAATCAGCACCACCAGCAGCACCAACAGTATCAGCGGCACAAGCAGCACCAACAGTATCAGCAGCACCAACAGTATCAGCGGCACCAGCAGCACCAGCAGCAGCAGTATCAGTAGTATCAACAGTATCAGCAGCACCAACAGCACCAACAGTATCAGCAGTATCAGCAGCACCAACAGAAACAACAGTATCAGCAGCACCAACAGTATCAGCAGTATCAGCAGCACCAACAGTATCAACAGTATCAGCAGCACCAACAGTATCAGCAGTATCAGCAGCACCAACAGTATCAGCAGTATCAGCAGCACCAACAGTATCAACAGTATCAGCAGCACCAACAGTATCAGCAGTATCAGCAGCACCAACAGTATCAGCAGTATCAGCAGCACCAACAGTATCAACAGTATCAGCAGCACCAACAGTATCAGCAGTATCAGCAGCACCAACAGTATCAACAGTATCAGCAGCACCATCAGCACCAACAGTATCAGCAGTATCAGCAGCACCAGCAGCACCAACAGTATCAGCAGCACCAGCAGCACCAACAGTATCAGCAGTATCAACAGTATGAGCAGTATCAACAGTATCAGCAGTATCAGCATCACCAGCAGTATCAGCAGTATCAACAGTATCAGGAGTATATAATTGGTTCTTTCGGTAAAGTCACGAAGAAGGGAAACAATAAAATAATAATAATATATATAAAACAATAAAACAATATCAGCAGTATCAACAGTATCAGCAGTATCAACAGCACCAGCAGCACCAGCAACATTCGCAAGATTAACATCGGCAACATTATAAAACACCACCACTTTCATTAGTATCACGAGCGACAGCAATCCCAGAATCAGCACAAGCAGCAGCATCAGCATCAGTACAAACAACAGAGCTGGAAGCAGCATCAGCAGCAGTACCACCAGCACGAGCAACCATGAATTAGCAGCAGTGCCACCAACAACTAGCACCACCACCATCATCGACAACACCATCATTATCACTAGCAACAACACTACCACTATAGCAATTACCATCACCATCAACGTCGTCATCAGAACCATACGAATCACAATCACTTCTGGCATCGTCATACAATCACCACGAACACCATCGTAAGAAGACCACTACAGTCATCACCTTCATCGTCACAATCGGCAGCAGCTGCTGTTTGTTGACGAAACATCACCGCCACCACAAATGATAGAAACAAAGTCTGATTTATAACGCGCACAAAATGGCGTGCAAGCGAGTCGCTAACACAAGCCAGATGAGTAATTCATCCATTAAATAGACACCGCCAATCAACTCCATCATCATTTTTCATGATGATGATAATACACCCGTCACATCATCTTCAGCAGCTGCAGCTTCAGCCACCACCATCATCACCACCATCATCATCATCACCACCATCATCATCACCACCACCATCATCATCATCATCACCACCATCATCATCATCACCACCATCATCACCACCACCACCACCATCATCATCATCACCACCACCACCATCATCATCACCACCACCATCATCACCACCATCATCAGTTGCAGCAGAAATCGCACCATCATCATCACCCGTGTTATTTATAGTTCCCCTGTCCTACCGCATATTTGTCGTAGATGATATCCGTGGCTCGTGACTGCATTGTAAATTACGGGATGGGATCAAATTATTTTTTTGAACACGGGAACAATTGTTTGTGTTGTTGTTAGAAAGCCAGCCGTTGTATTTCAATATATTCGCCATTATCGCTGCACCACTCTACTGTACTGTATTTAAAATCTAACGTTATAGTTTATGATTATGTAAATAAAGATGTGACATTGTATGGAGCCAGTGTACTGTTTGGTGCGTACACATCTGTTAAGACCGATGGGGGTGAGTGCTGTTCGCGAGTAACACGTTCAGCACCACGCCCAGCCAGCCACCTGTGTTAGCCACAGTCGTGGTGATGTTGACGCACCGCACCAGACATTCATTTATTTAAAGCTGAGTCGACCTAGGCGTGGCCCAGTACCGGTTCAGATATTTGCTACGAATGTTAACCGTGGGCTGTAATTGTGCTCAGGTCCGCCGATTTCGTATCGCAGTTCGCTAACCACTACACGACCGCTCCTCACCCACAAATACGATGATGGTGCTGGTTACCCACCCATGAATTTGCCGTGCCGGCCATCATCGGTGCTCGCTAATAGCACTTGTCCCAACAATCTATTAAAGGCTATACTGGGGATCTTTTGTTTAATTTGTATGCATGTACGTGTATGCACATCTGAATGTATGTATGCATCGTGTGTGTGTGTAAATCCGTGTATGCGGAGCGGTGGTGAAGCAGTAAGCGCGCTGCGCTACGATTCCGGCAACTCGAGTTCGTATTCCCGCTCACGGCCAACACCAGAGACGAATATCTGAACTGGTCCCGGGCCTCCCCTCGGTTGACTCAGCCTCAAATGAGTGCCTGGTGTCGTGCGTAAAAACATCGAGACAAGGTGAGACAAAGGTGGCCGGGCGTGGTGCTGGCCACCCACCCCCTCGTGTGCCGTGCCGTCCTTCGTTGGTGCTCGCCAACAGCACTTGCCCCAACAGTCTGTCAAAGGCTACACGGGGGATCTTTGTCTTTGTTGTGCGTATGTGTGCGCGCCTGAGCGTGTGTGCCCAACGCTTGCACGTCACAAACAGGACTTTCGCCCATCGCAAGCGCATTTGAATCCAGAGTAAATACCCCAAACATGTGCGTGGGTTTATGAAGGCTGGAATGCGCGGCTCCTAGCAGAGCTACCATTGCTACTGCTACAACGCCGAACATTATTGTTATTATTATTCGGAGTGGGGGAACAGCTCTTTTGAACTGCATTTACCCACCCCCCCCTGGGCTTAATACATTGGCCAACATAACTAGTTTCTAGGACGGTACACTACAAACAAAACGTATACATTACTACAAACAAATGTCACATAATACGCGCAAAAGGTGACCTTTCTGAACACACGCGCATGCCAAAATTTAAAGATCCAACGTTCGACCCAAGAGGCAACAGATCGTTTGGGGTTAGCGAGCGCCTACCAAGACCGGAACAATACAATGAGTAGATATACAGTGCAGTAGATGGTGCTGTCAGCCCCACCCCTGGTAGCCTTTGTCTTCTCATTGCTGATCCTAATAACATAGCTTCAGGTACTAATTTAAGGCTGAGTCGACCTACAGAAGGTCCAGGCGGGGTTCGGTTATCACTTCTCACGGACGTTACCCGTGGCCAGGAATTGAACCCGGGTGGCAAAGCCTCGTGGCGCCATGCACAAGCAACTTGGCACTACTCTCCAGACTCAAACTGTGTCACGGTGTGACGATCATCATCGATTCATATCGCGTTTAAAACTGACGATGCATGTATGCGTCGATCGCATCGTGTGCGTAAGAATCGATGGGTTTCTCTCTCTCGCTATTAGAATCAACATCATCGGCCGTAATAGATCCACTGGATGAAGGCCTCTCTAAATCGTCGCCATCTCACACACTGACGCGGTACCATGATCAAGGGGCGCCGCGATGGCTATGAGATGTTAACTTCCTCGCCTGGTATACAGGAGGTCGTGGGTCCTCTGTCCCCGTGGTCGCGTGGACTTTTCTCCATGTCCCCTGGGTTTCCCCTCCACATTCAGAATCAGCACACCTGTCCATATGATGAGCCACTTCGTTAAGCTCTCATTTGCGGTCAGGTCGCTCCTGAAAAATATATATATACATAGCAGATGAGTTGGCCTTCTGGTAAAATAAAAACATTAAACAGTAAATAGCTTTTTTGGATTTAAAGCTTTCGTGACTGCAGGGATTCATATTCTTGGTTCTTTCGGTAAAGTCACGTAGAAGGGAAACAATAAAATAATAAAAATATAAAACAATACAATTCTCACGACGTTTCGACTGCGACACAAGCAATCATCATCAGGTGTGAAAACCACAGCAATAAAAATTTGAAAAAAGTTTTTCTACATTGTTGCATACAATAGTGTGATGTGCTGCGTAGCATACACATTCATGATTGATGGCTCACATTCATGATTGATGACTCTAAACACTGTCTCTGGTTTTTATTCGTTAACTTAGACACCTTTTTGGAACGCGTGTTCCTAAATGCGCCAATAACTAAGCTGTAATATCAACCGTAAGGGGAGTAGGTGGGCAGCTTTGTGTTTGCGCAATGCTAACAACTCGTGCCTCGCATCAAGCACTTCTGTGATCGATTCCCGACTCTCCTCGTAGCACCTTTCTGTTCTCTCCCCCCCCCCCCCCCCCCCCCTGTTCTGCGTGGGTTTCCTCCTCGTTCACCGGTCTCTTTCTCCCATAACTTACAAACCCCATTCCATACAATGTAAGTGCTATTGGCCAAACATCCCGAATGCAGCGCGACCCTCCTGAAAAAGAGTTTTATGTATGTTGAACTTCTTACGCACCGCACGTATCCAACCGCGCTAATCAGAGGTGCCGATTCAGTATGGCGTTACTGCATAAACAAGTAATGGTTATAGCTTCGGAAAGCATAAAAATAACTGTGGGGGGGGGGGGGGGAGGGAATAAGAGCTCAAAACAAAGCGGCCGACCCTTCCAGTGACTGATGAATGGAGGGGGCCTTTTGGTGA